TTTAGCCACAGTTGTCGATCCAAGAGATGCGGTTGCTAATCAAGAATTGGGCTGGGATGATATTGGAGTTGCGATTTTAGAGGTTGTTAATACAGAAGAAAACAGTCTGACTATTGGAAGCATTGTGCGGTGGAAATTGAGGCACTTAGTGTTTGAGAATGTGAAGGATTCACAATCAAACACCACTACAACTGATGACAGAACATCTCTTCATGGGAAAAGAAAGTACACCTTCCTAAAGCGCAGCCAAAGGGATCTGAGCAACCAATCGAAAAGGCAGAAAATGGCGATGGAGGTTCGAATGGTCTCGACAGTTGCTTGTTGCAAGAGGAGGTGCTGTCAACATGCTGATTGGGATGCTATTGAAGAGGAGAGAGCAAGATACAAGACATTGTCCTGGAAGGCAGCTCGCAATTTTGTGTATGAGGCATTACGGTCATCTGTTAATGCTTCAGAACATCAGGTGGGGGGCATGGTCTTCCAGAGGGGTTTGGTCTGCATGAAGGCATGGAGAATCATTTATGGAGTCCCTCGAACCACATTCTACAGAATCAAAACTGAATTCGAGGAACAAAGGGTTCAACAGGTAGTCCATGGGAACGACGGTACTCACAAAACCAGGGGTCATGCTATATATGGAGAGGCAATCTTCAAGAGGTTTGTCGAGACATGTAGCGAGCAGCAACCACATAAAACCCGCCTCTTGGAAGATGGAACTCGAGACACCCAACGAGTTCTCCCTTCCATGTATACCAAGGGGGCCATATTGGAAGATGTGAATCGGGAACTCCAGAGTAATGGCTACAGGAAGCTGAGCCAATCTAGATTTAGTAGATTGTGGAGCAACAGGTTCAGGGATGTGGCCCTTGTCGATCGAACCCCATACAGGGTTCAGCTGGAGGAGGAGCAAAGGCTTGCAGTATCGCGTGGGGCCCCATGCCATCCCAGTGAATATGTTGGCTGTCAGATTGTAGGGTTATCACGTGAGGCCTCATGCCATTCCGACGAGGCTGGTCGCCCGGTGAATGCACAGCCTCATCCAAATGAAGCAAAATCTCAAGGAAGTTCTTGCGGCCGATGTGGCCTTCCACCCCATCTTCTGCTCCAAACAGACAATGCTGGCAGTGAGAACAAAAACATGTACGTCTTCGTGTACTTGGCGATGCTTGTTGCCAAAGGCATATTTGAAACGGTTACACTTGGCTTTCTCATGGTTGGGCACACTCATGAAGACGTCGATGCCATGTTCAGTCACCTAGCAGAGTCCCTCCGGTGATCCAATGTCCTCACCCTCCCACAAC